ATGTCTCTTTCTGAATCAAAGTGGGTAGGAGCAGTGTTTTCCATCTCTTCCTGACACAAGCCAGCCTTCTTATTTCGATGATATCTATGCTTCAGTAGTCATCGAGCTGATGATTCAAGCAGAAGGTACAGGCGGTCCTCAACTTACGACCACAACTGAGCCCAGAATTTATGCTGCTAAGTGAGACATTTGTTAAATGAGTTTTGCCCCATTTTACGAACTTTTCTTGCCACATTTGTTTAGTGAATCACTGCAGTTGTTAAATTGGTAACACGGTTGTTAAGCGAATCTGGCTTCTCCATTTACTTTGCTTACCAGAAGGTCACAGAAGATAATCATATGACCCCTGGACACTGTAACCATCATCAATATGAGCTAGTCTGCAACCATATGAATGTAAGTCATGTGACCATGGGGATGCTGCAATGGTCACAAGTGTGAAAAATGGTCATAAGTAACTTTTTTCAGTGCTGTTGTAACTTTGAACAGTCACTAAATGAACTGTTGTATGTCGAGGACCACCTGTACATCAGCAGCCGTTCAGTGATGATGCAGCCCAGCTCCTGTTGGCCACTTTGATTAGGCGGTCTATGACAGCCTTCTTAAGTTTCAATTATTTTGAATTTTCTTTTTATCTGTTTGCTATACTGTGAGCTGCCCGGAGTCACTGCTACAGTGAGATAGGTGACATATAAATTGAATGAATCAAGACATAGGTCAAGGTTCTAAGCTGATTCCTGGCTCAGACATCTGGATCAGTACGGCCCAAAAAGCAGCTAAAGAGAGGAGTGTGTGTGTATATATGTGTATTTCATGTCAGGGGCTGTCAAACTCGCCGTCCGTGGTCCGGATGCGTGATGCACTGGCCACGCCCACGCTCAGTTTAGCAGATGGGGAAAAAAATCCCGATATGTCACGTGACGCTGCTATGACGCCGCGAGTTTCACTTTGCTGATGTAGGAGGGGGAAAAACACCTAGCTTCCTCTCTGCTCCTTCATGACTGCACACAGACAATCCCTGTCACCTAATGTTTGGGCTTCTTTTGAATGCAGGTTTTACTGCTTTTCTAGAAAAGTTGTGAACATGTGCTCAAACATAGGTGGAACAATAAATGATAGGCAGGATGAAGCAGAAAAGTAAGAGCTGGTTTACACAACCCATCCATCAACCAGACAGTTGATTCCCAGTCTGGGAAAGGGTGATTGGTAAAGAGGGAGCTAAGTCCGATAGGTAGCTAAATCTATAGATCTATCTATCTGTCAAAAACCATGGGCGGTCACTGTCATGCTGTGATTGGCAGACTGTTTTCCTGGTGCATGAAAAGGGATGGAGATGAATGGAGAGAAATTCAGGCTTCCATGCATGGGACATCAGGAATTAGCGTCCTTCAGCTGCAGCTCAGAACAGAATTGAGACTGGCAATGAGGTCAGTAAATTCTATGCTGGAGCTGTTTTCTTGAACTCAGAAAAGAAGACATCACTTCACCTTAACCATCAGGAAGAAACCTTAGCATTTATATTTACCTAAGCTTGTGCAGTGTATGATGTCTTCTCCGAAACAGGTAGGTGCCTTATTTACTTAATTATTAAATTTATATGACACTTACCTCATCTATTATCTTGATTTGCATGGTATGTAGACCACCACCCCCCATGTTGTGTTCACATTTTCCTGTGAGAATCTGGGTAAATTATATCCTTTCCCAAGACTGACAAACAAGGAAGGTTATGCAATAAGATCTAAAACAGTTGGCAACTTCTTTTTCCAGATTGAGCTGCCTGTTATTTTTACTTCTGACTTTTTCCCCTTATGAGAGTTTTAAATATTGTATAGTTTGTACTCACACAGATTTATAAAATAGCAAAATGTTTATAGTTTATGTGATTTTCCCCCCTCTCTTTTTCTAACACTTAAGACATCTGAAAAATTTGCTTCCAAATGTTTTATCATATCTAATCCTTGAAATTATAATTTAATTATATGTTTACTCATGGGTGTTTCTGATGTTGTCTTTTTCTTTATCAGAGCTGAAAGAAGTAAACTGCTTCTTTTTTCTGTTAACTGTGAAGTATCATGGGTACAAATGTGACATTTTAACCATGGATTAGGAGATCAGCAAAAGTGAAAAACTATGATTTTTGGCTTGTTTCATTCACCCAGAAATGGAGAAGCTATGGCCTCAACAGATTGAAAAATCAGTGACATAGAGGTGTTGCTGAATCACAATTTCCAGTGTTCCACACCTCTTTTCCAGCAAATTCTGGAGTACCAAAAATTCCCCAACCTTCCCCATATCTATTGTTAAGCTTATCTATAATTGTCCAGATTCTGGCAATGCTCTGCAAGTCCCTTTCCTTTCTGGTTGATATCTCAATCACCTTATAATGGCTTTCCAACTATCATTTCCTTTCCTTCTTCTGATGAACAACAACAACAACAAAAAACTCTAGCCAACATACATGAGATAATAAAAAACGTATTTCCTCCCAAGTTCCTTTTTATTAACAAGTAGTCCTTGATTTACAATCATTCATTTCGTGACTGTTAGAAGTGTAGGAAGTTAGCACCCACCCCTCTCCTCGAAAATTGAAATAGGAAATATTAAAAAGGCAGAATATTTCCCCTAAAAAGAGTAGAAACTCAGAAGCAGAAGCTCACCCCCACTTTTGTTAATGGGTGGGCCATTAAGGCCTGGGCCAGAATGTTTCACATAACAAAGATCTCCAGCTAAAGCTATAGCAATTGCTCAAAGTCCTTTTCATTACATGGTCATTCAGCAAGGCTCATCCAAGCCTGGAACTCAAGACAGCCTACAGAATTGCCCCTGCATGGCCCCATGGCAGTCTGACAACCAATCAGAATACAAGTCAAATTCAAATCCCAACAGAGGGTATGTAAGGGGACTCTCAGCATCTCAGCCCTCCCTTCTTTTCCTTCTCTTTCCCTTCACCTTGAAGCATGTGATCATCCTTTTCACTTTGGAGCTCCAAGGCATGTGGTCCTGTCTACCATTAAACCATCTTTCCAAACAGCCTCCATGTTTCCAGTGTCTTTTTCCCCACTTGGAACTGAACCCAGAAGGATAATTCTTCCGACAGAAGTTAGAAGACTGTTAGAAGGCAGTGAAATAACTTATGACCGGTTTTCACACTTATAACCATTACAGCATCCCCCTGATCATATGATCAAAATTCAAAATTCATGCATTTATGACAGTTGCATTTTCCCAGGATCATGTGATCACCTGTCCAGCTGGTTTCCAACAAGCAAAGTCAATTGGGGAAGCCAGATTTGTTGAATGACTGCATGATTCACTTAACAGCTGCAGTGATTTGCCTAACAACGGTGGCAAAAAAAGATTGTAAAATGGGGGCAAAACTTATTTAACAACTGCCTTGCTTAGCCACAGAAATATTGGGCTCAATTGTAGTTGAGGATTACCTGTATAATGTTTGAAATCCTCACTGTTAAGACTATTTCCAATAGAAGTACCCCTTTCCAGTGGTGGGATTCAATTTTTTTTACTACTAGTTCTGTGTGCGTGGCTTGGTGGGCATGGCAGAGGAAGGCTACTGTAAAATCTCCAGTCAGAAGTGGTATTTGCCGGTTCTCCAAACTACTCAAAATTTCTGCTACCAGTTCTCCAGAACTGGTCAGAACCTACTGAATGCCACCTCTGCCCCTTTGAATAATGCAGATTCAAATTCTGTGACCATTTCATGGGATTCATTAACTAATCGAAACCTCTCTGTAAGCCTAAATCACAATTCAGTATTACATATAATAAATCAGTTTTAAACTGGCTGATGCATTGTTTTCAGTAACTGCTGATAACCTTAAATGACAGGTCATAGTTTAGAGACAACAATGAGAATGGTTCAAAACATGCTACCTGTTCATCCTGTTGCCAAATCTGTGATTAGATTGACAGCTTCTCCTGTAGAAGATTGGCCATAGATTGGAGCACGGCAGTGCAATGAGCCATGGGAATCAACCAACTTTCCAAAATTGATGGATGGTGCAAATTGCCCTTTTCCAGGGTAGCAAAATACACAGAAGCTGTTTTCTTTTGTTGGCTGCAAGTTTCATTTAAGGACGCTTAGTGAATGGCCCGCAATGAGCTCTTGGCTGGCACAGAGATGTTGGGACACATTCTCCTGTGGGCATTGGATGCCAGTCAAGGAAGGGAAAGGGACCCAGTGACACCCTGCCACTTCCAACTGCTTAGTTGAATAATTAAGAGCTGGCAGTAAAAAAAAATAATCTTATTTTTTTTTTTCGTTTGGGGAGAGGAAAGACAATTATTTCAGATGTGGAAGACTGCAGAAATCGCTTTCCAAAAGAGCCCCAGGCCAGGGCAAGAGGAGGTCACCCTATGCAAATGACGGATCACGAAGAGGGGCCACACAGCCCGGCGCTGGGGCGGAAGCCGAGCAGCCCTAAATCACTCTGGGAAGGCCGGTGCCCGCCTTGTTCTCCGCCCTCTTTCACTGTCTGCAGCTGCCCGACTTGGCAGCGGGCAACCCCCGGCGTCGCTCCCCGCGGTGAGGGAATCGCTTCGGCAGTGGGAAACCCCGAGCCCCGGGCGACGTTTCCGCCCCTCGCCTCAGCGGCTCGCGCGAGCCACCTTTTGGCCGCCTGCCAAAAGACACCCCCCGCCCCGGGCCAAGCACGCGCCCGATGGTTGCGCGCGCGCGCGCACGCGAGCGGCTCCCCTTCGTTGGCAGCGGTTGCGCGAGCCCCCTCGCGGCGCTCCTCCCGCCCCCCCCCCCCCCCCCCCCTGCCCCAGGCAAGGGAAGAGTGGCGGCGGCGGCGCCTGCTTGGCTTTGCAAATGCCCGGGATGAGGACGGAGCCGGTCTGGGAAAGCGCGCAGCAGGAACTCAAAGACGGGTTAACCCGGGGGAAGAGTCCTGGCTGCGGTGCTGCTAGTGCAGCTGCCCAACGTTAGTCCGGAGTGCAGATCGCGAAGTTGCGCGTAGTTTTTTTTTTCTTCTTCTTCCCCCCTGACCGAGGGATGGATTGACCGATCCCGCCGGGAAGTTAAGTGGTAGCACGAACTCGTAGGGTTGAAAGCGGACTGAAATCGTTCATTTGTATTTTTTTCTTTTCCTTTACTCAGAAGTAAGTGATTCGAATTCAGCGCGGGGTTCTAATGTGAAAATCCGGGGGTGTTTTTATTTTTATTTATCTTCTCAGTGTTCTGAAATAGCGGGTTTTTTTTGTTTTTTTGTTTTTAATAGAACTTTGAGGACAATTTTTCCACCCATTTATGCAACGCAGGCTATGCATACCGCGTTTAATGCTGGTTTGGGAGTCAGCCTGGACTAGTGGTTAAGGCGCTGGATTAGAAGGAGCTGAATTCAAGTGTTGCCTTCGGCACAGGCGCCAACTGGGTGGCTTTAAGGCGAGGCAGAATCTCTCAATCTAGGAAGAACGCAGGGGGCGAAAATGTTGGCTACCAAACTTCAGGGACTCCTTCGGGAGTCAAAGAAACGATAAAGAGAAGAAGAAGAAGAAAAAAACCTAGTTCAGTTGATGGCTATGTATGTCTACTCTACCTAATGTCCCACTAAGATTATTGAGGTAAAAGCTTCAGAAAACTACAGAATCAAACTTAAAAGTTTCCAGTTCAATTAGGTTTGGATGCTGAAAAGATAGTGTTCTCCCTCCTTTGGTTGGGCATTTTTTGAGTAAAACTGGAGAGTATGTGTTAAGGGCTGTGGGCATAGAATTTGTGCATACTTTCCCCAACACAATTACGGCAAAGACTGATGTATGATGGTAGGTGAACTCTGATGACTAATAACAAGGAAATATTGTTGCACTGGAGTGAGCTGGTCATTTGATATATGGAAAAGAGAACAGTGGATTTTTGGGGTTGTTAAAACGATTCATTTAAAGATGTTCTGAGATTTTTAAAAATATACTAGGAACGTGATATAATGGTAAAGGGTTAATATGAGTCATTTTAACAATTGGCATTTCCACCCCCCATATTGCATACTTTACTGTTGGGATAATTGGCTAGGTATGTGTAACAAGCCAAAACGGGGTTGATGAAATGGTATTTTAAATTTGATTTCAGGATTTATAATAATAAAATACCATATGATTCATGATGAGATCCCCTAACATTGTGCCCTTCCCTACAATAATTCTTAGTCACTGCAACAATCACAGCTTTTCCTGTCTCTCTTTGTTATTTTGTGTCAGATTTTAGATTATAATGTCCTTGGGAATTGTTCTGGGGTGGGGTTTTTTGTACTCCATAAACTTTGTAAGGCATGGTAGAAACAGCATAATACTAATTGGTATCAATGTACCTGCTTTCACTGTGCCTTTTTTCTCATCCCCCACCCCCCCCAAAAAAACACCTCACCCATGATGCTGAATTTCCAATGCATCTCTGACACTGTTATTCAGGAAACTTGTTTCATGTCTGTTTTTGTAACTTTGCTAGTGAATAATGCAACCAAAATGAACTTTCCATTTAGGAGAGGATAATAAGAGAGATATTTGCTTCATTAACTGTCAACTATTGTATGTATTGAGGTGTAAGAGTGCCTTTCAAAACATAAAAAACCTACTATGGAAATTGAGATGTAATGCAATTTTCCCATGAAGTCTTCCATCTGATCCCCCCCCCCCTTGTAAACTCAGCTGGCTCCAAAAGCTAAATAAAGCAAAATATTCCTCTATGAACTACACACTTAAAAACAAACCCCTTAAACACCTCTAATTTCTATAGTTACTACTATTAATTTCTATTCTCAACACCCTTTATTGCCTAGCTTGGCTTTTTGTTTCAATAAAATGAACTATGGTAGCCTCACTATCATTTTGGGTCAGTCTCTCTCAAAGGCAGGATTTTGGGAGAGGAATACATCACTCCGTTTGGAAAGTTGGTAAAGAGGAAGGAGAAATGGGTGGTCTTATGACTCGGCCAACCACATTGTTTTGTTTTATTTGTTTGGTCAAATAATGAATGGCAGGTTGTGTTTGTTTTAGAGCAATGTTTCTCAACCTTGGGGACTTTAAGCTGTGTGAACTTCAATTCCCAGGGTTCCTGGCTAGGGGAATTCTGGGAGTTGAAGTCCACACAGCTTTTAAGTTGCCAAAGTTGAGAAATGCTGCCTTAGAGAGCAGGAAGAAAGAGAAGTCTTCTTCTGTGGCTGTGAGTCACCCTGAACCCTCTTTCTCTTCATTTATGAAGGACTGATACAAATCTTAAGCTGCCAGATAACAGAAAGGATTTAGGGAGCCATTGTGAGCTGTTGATGCTAAAGCAATACTTTATCTCTAAAGTTAGAGTTGGAATTGCCATGATTTCAAAACCAGATTGAAAGCTGCCTTGGATGCCATTGTGAATATGTTTTGTCAACCACACCTTCATTATTGGGGCAAATAGAGGCCCCAATAATCCTGAACCCAATCCAGATAAATTGAACACGCTTAAAAGTCCCATAGGAGGCATTTTAACTATCTCTGTAATTCCGACGCTTAAATCGTTTTGCCTCGAACGTATTTTGCCTCGAAAGCATTCCGATGTGGCGGATGACATTCTTTCCCTGATTTAATTGGATGAGTTAATAAAAACATGGTCTGAGTACACCAGTAAGCCACTTTTAGTGGGATTCATTATTTTCCTTTCCCTCTCGTCCATCCCCCTCTGAAAGTCCATTCTTTCCAGAGGTATTTAGGTTTACTGAAAGTTAGTTGGCTGGAAAAGTTCACATAGCGTATCCATGACAACTCTCAGAAATCAGGGTGACTGAATGGGGTGAAAACAATGGATGGACTTACCATGCAGAAGAAAAGAAAGGAGTCTGTCTAGGGATGGAGGAGGAGATCACAAGCTGCACTCTTTATTATTTATGATCTATAAATTTTATTATTTAAACTGTGCAATGGTAAATTACTGCTGTTATATTGCCAAGAGGACAATACGGACACGAGTTGAAGTTGAACTGGCCTCAAAGGATGTTTTCTGTATGACTATATTATATGTAAACAAATCTTTTAGGAGCATTTGTTGAGGTGGCTATTCTAATTTAGTATAGAAGTGAAATAACTAAGCCTGAAAGATGACAGGATTTTGGCAAAAGCTTTACTGGTCTAGATGCCATTCAAGTGGGACATACCACTTTATACCACAAGTAGGCGCTGTTTTTCTTTTTCTTCTCTCAGCAAATTTAGTAGAGTCCTACTGGCCATACAGGGTAGGACCTGATACAGGTAGTCCTCAACTTATGACCACAATTGAGCCCAACATTTCTGTTGCTAAGCAAGACAGTCACTAAGTGAGCTTTTCCCATTTTATGACCTACCTTGCCACTGAATCACTGCAGTTGTGAAGTTAGTAATAAGTTGTTAAATGAATCTGGCTTCCCTATTGACTTTGTTTGTCAGAACATTGCAACTCTGTGTGTGTGTGTCTATGTCTGTCACATGACCCGGGGACACTGCAACCGTCATAAATATGAGTCAGTTGCCAAGTGTCTGAATTTTGATCACATGACCATGGGGATGCTGCAATGGTTGAGTGAAACATAAATAACTTCTTTTCAGTGCAGTTGTAACTTTGAATGGTCACTAAATGAACTGTTGTAAGTCGAGGACTACCTGTAGAATGTCTCATATTCCATGTAAGACTGCAGTTTGGTGTCAATGTGGCCTAGCTCCCAACCCCTTGTTTTTTCCACAATCATTTCTCTTGTTGGATTTATTTTGCCTATGAACAATTCTTTGAAACTGCAAAGCATGTACGCCTATTTTTAAAACCCTTCAACAAACTTAATGTGGTTTTGAATATTTTTCCTTGGTCAATAGAAAAATGTCAGGTATGCAATGTGACACCTGTCGAATTCCTCCACGCACTGATTTTTTTTTTAAAAAAAAATCTTGCAGTGTATCAAATGATTAAATGGATGGCTGGACTGCTGGACAAAGCCCAGCCAGCTTCCTGCATCTCCCTCATTTACAAGAATGCTCTTGAGATACAAGATGCATTTATAGGCAGTCTGTACATTGGATGACTGTATACAGATAGTCCTCAACCCACCAAAGTTACAAAGGCACTGAAAAAAGTGACTTATGACCATTTTTCACAGTTCTAACCTTTGTAGCATCTCCATGATCATGTGATCAAAATTCAGATGCTTGGCAACTGGTTCATACTTATGACCATTGCTGTGTCCCAAGCTCATGTAATCAACTTTTGCAATCTTTTGCAATCTTTTGACAAGCCAAGTCAATGGGGAAGCCAGATTCACTTTACAATTGAAGTATTAACTTATCAATTGCAATGATTCACTTAACAACAGTGGCAAGAAAGATAGTAAAATGGGGCAAAACTCACTTAACGAACGTCTCAACAACATAAATTTTGGACTCAATTGTGGCTGAGGACTACTCTATTTCATCCCTGTTTCTCTCAAAAGACTAAAATAAGCTGGGATGAGACTTAACATCTCTGGATTGTTTAAGTGGCAAGAAGCAACTCTTAGCAGCTTAACTTAGGACAAATTGCGTTTTTCTACTACCGGTATTTTGTAACTGGCACAGCCTGCTATGCTAGCCATTTCCTGAGAGGAGTTATGTCAGGCTCTTACAATTCCAAATGTATTTAGCACTCCAAAATATTTGCCTAACCCTAGACTGTCTCTTTATTTCAAGTAAGTCTGTTTATAAAGCAATGTAATTTGGTTAATTCTGACCAGAATTCCAAAACTGTTGGACTAAACTTGTGATTGCTAAATTCTCAACAAATCAGAGCCCCAAAAGTTGTGTAGGCGAAAAGTATTTTGGATAGGGTAACTACCACTTGCCAAAGTACTGAACCACGTGAACCCATCCAAAGGCTATAATAGCTTCTTATTGGGAACAAATAGTATAATTGGGGACTTTTTAAGTTTAGAATGAAGTCAGTTAAGAGGGTGTGATAGAAATATATAAATCAACTAAAAAGTAGGATGGTCCCAAAGTCATCCAGGAACACTTAAAGGTGATTGATTCAGCACAAGCAAAAATAATAATAATCACTTTTTAATTTTAATGATTCTGGACTTTGCTAGGATGGGATGTGACAATAGCTGACAGATTAATTGGATTTAATTGGTCAA